CATGACCGATCAGACTAAGGGTAGGGGGTCCTTGGAAAGCATGGAAAGGGTTGAAGAGAGTAGGAAGGTGAAACGCAGAGAGTTGAACCCCAAAAACCGGTCGGAAACGAAACGGAAAGAACTTGATGAGGCGAAGGTGAAAGAATGGAACAAAGTAATTAGTTCTGGCGCCATAAAAAAATGTAGGTAAAGATGCTGAAGACCTTGAAAAAGAAGTGGGTAAGGATAGGGTGTTAGAATCTAGATTTGTGTACAGTGTACACGTCAGACGACAGCAGCAACGAAGGAGTGTTGAAAGCTCGGTGGTGTATTCGGGGCTATTTAGACCCGGATGTGTTGGATGTGCAAACAGCTTCGCCAACTTTGAGCAATGAGGCTTTTTCAGTTGTGCTACAGATCTTGGCTAGCTTTCGTTGGCAACTCACCATAGCAGACATCGAAGGCACCTTTCTTCAAGGAGATCAGATCGACCGACAAAAAGGAAAGATCTTGGTGAAAATTCCAAAAGACGGAATACCAGGACATGGTCAAGACAACTTGTGTGAACTCATCAAGCCTGTCTACGGACTAGTTGACGCTCCGAGATTGTGGTGGAACTCATTGACGAAAGCTTTGATGGAAATAGGAATGATGCAGTCACAACTTGACAGTTGCTTGCTTTTCAGCAGAGAAGCCAACGGAAGACTTGATGGGGTCATTGCATTTCATGTTGATGACTTAGTCATTGGCGGGAGCCGGGAGCCCTAGCTTCATGTCAAGTAAGTTCCAGAGACTTAGAGACAGGTATCCATTCAAACATGTGAAACATGACGGAGGAGAGTTTTTGGGAAAGAATTTGAAACAACACGAAGACTTCTCCATTTCCTTTGAACAAAAGGAGTACGCGGAGACGATACAGTGCATTCCTATCAGTAAAGAACGTAGAAAAGAAAATGAAAACGAAACAAACGCACAGGAAAAGACACGTTCTTGGGGAAATCCAGTGGCTGGTCACTGGAAGTAGGCCGGATCTCGCTGCTGGATGTTCATTAACGCAGCAAAAGATAGCCGCGTCGATCAACAAAATGGTAGCCCAGGCTCGAGACTTTTCGGCAATGAAGTTGTTTGCGAAACCGATTCCACCAGAACAGGTGGAATTTGCAGCATGGTCGGACGCGAGTTTCGCAGCTCAGTGGAAAAGCCAAGGAGGGTACATGGTCTGTGCAACAGATGCTCGTCTAAGAAGAGATGAGTGGGCAGAACTGTCACCCTTGAGATGGAGAAGCTATAAACAAGACAGACAGGTGGCTTCTACACTGGGAGCTGAGTTGATGACCTTGTCAAGGACCATCTCGGAAACCAAATGGATCAGGTCAATTTGGGCTGAGGCAATTCAGGCCAACTACAAGCTAGAAGAAGACCAGATATGGACATCACGGATTCCAGTGACTGTTGCAGTTGACTCCAGACCTGTGTTTGATCACTTGAATGGTCAATTGATGACTACCAAGGACAAGCGCTTAGCGATTGAAATGCTGCTGGTCAAACGTGATGTAGCCAAAGATGGTATTTCCATCATGTGGTTGCCAACTGACCATATGTTAGTGGACGGCCTCACCAAAATGAATGCCAAGATGGACTTCCTTCGAAAACCCAACAATCCTACGATGGATTGGGAAAGCCAAGAAATGAACTTGATTGGAGCTTCCTTTGCGTTCTTTGGTTGGTGTGTGTGTTGGTGGTGGTGAAATGATAGCTGATAGAATGAAGAGATCCTGAACAAACAAGGGACGAAAAAGGGATGTATGAAAGTGCATGTCTGTCCCTATTTGTATAGAGCATGAGTGGACAGTCGAAGACCGAACGAATTACCGTCGGAACCTTATGGTACAAGCCCCCCTCAGCCGCAGATGAAAAGCCATGATGAGCCATGAGTGTGTGACCACCGAGGGACCGATCGTGCCGGGTTCGTCAATAATATGTTTTTCTCCAGATAGCGACAGCTATGAGGTTCTTAGTTCAAAAAACAATGAGCTGGCTGTGCACGCTTTTGAGACAGGGTGCCGGTGCCGGGTGCTGGTGCTGGCTGTGGTGTGCTGTGAGCTGGCCGTGGACGTGGTGGAGAGAGGGCGCCGGTGCTGGGTGCTGGCGCTGGGTGCTGTGAGCTGGCGTGCCGGTGCCTGGTGCTGGTGCTGGCTGTGCGTGTAGTGGAGAAACGCCACGATGTACTGCGGTGTTTTTTTCATGTTTTTTTTCTCCACTGTAAGAAAAGGTTCCTGTGTGCACTTTGGAGCTGCTGCCAATGCAGGGCACAGTCCAGAAAACTATTTTGCATACTGTCTGGGTCTATGCTGGTGTAATTTTGGTTCTGCCAAAGATTGAATGTATCCTGGAACTAGAAGGATGTAATAGCAAAACAATGAACAGTGTTTGTGTTCAGAAACAACTTTTTCCAAGTCTGCTTTTGGACAGTATGGGGTAATTGACAATGCTCCCCTCATCACTGCTTTTGAAGCCTCCCTGAAGACCGACCACCAGAGAGTCCTTCATAGATAAAGATTATCAAACACCAGGTTTCACCAGGAAACATTTTTGGGAGGCTTCTCACTCGCTCCAGTGCTTGAGGAGACTGCGGAGGGCCTGCGCCCGGTGAATTGGCTGTGGCTCCCCGGCCATGACGCCGTAGCACTGGAGGCGCTTGGGTGTGCAGCTGCCGGCAAGCCGCTGCATGCACTGGCTGAAGCCATGTGCCATGGGATGCTTGGATGATGGAGGAACCAGGTCATGGAGAGAAACCAGCTTGGTTCCAAGATGGTTCGACCGGCCAGGTGAACGTTGCGACCTTTTCTGCTTGAAAATGGCGTGGTTCGCACACCTCGCAAATATCTGTCATTCCATCATTTGGTTTGTAAAGAAAGCTCAATCACGTTGATTTGTTGGTCCGTTGATGTGACCGTTTTTGGACCCTCCGCTGTGGGAACGTCCGCGATACTTGGGGTCTATTTGTGTATTTATCTGCCAGTAGATCATATAGTCATATATAGTAGATCCCCTCAAAAGGTGAGCATTCAGGCAGACGTTTTCCAAAGAACAGACACACACCAAACGGGCGGTGAGGCTCTTTTGAGGTGTGAGGGGGTCCTTCCAGCAGCGGCTTTCTTCCATCTCTTTGAACAATTTTTCAAGATTTTGCGCGCTCAACGTCCTGCATTTTTTTTGCTTTTTCAGCTCCGGCACAAGGTCCTGCACTTCAGCTCCGTCAAGTCCTGCACTTGCCTTGCCATCAAAAGTAAACATGCACTCTGTTTTGGTATTTGGTTTGCTGTTTTGGCCAAATCACCTGCCACATCTTTTTACCGAATCTGCTCCCCCTCGCTCCCCCGGCATGCCACATCACACCCTCATCGGGTGGCCAGGTCGGCTTGCCGTGTGTTTGACGACTCAGGAAGGCACCCGGGCTCCGGGTCCTCTCCCGCCGGGGCGACGCCCTGGTGATGGATGTTATGGAGACGGAGACACCGCGCGAGGCGGGGCGCGCGGGGGCCGTGGCGTTGGCGGTTTCTGTTTCGTTTCTGGGGAGGGCGTCAAAACAGGTTGGAAGGAGCATCATGAGTCATGAGCACCTAAGAAGGAATGACGCCTGAGCTTCTACAGTTGGGTCTGGGCCCGCATGTCTGCACATTTTAATAGGAAACTAGACGTCCGATACCCCCCAAAACTGCGCGGATTGGTTGCGACTCAAAAGTGGGTGACCTCCAGGTCTTACGTGATTTCTCACGTCTTGCTATTTTTGTTAAACCCGGGGTGGTTGGGCCTTTATATGGAATCCGCCTCAAGTACCTGCGGGACGAAAGTGCCAGGTGAAGCCGGACTGGCGCCTGTGGCATGCTGGATGTAGCCCTGAGGAACCTGAAGAAGAACGGCTCACCGCGCAGATCTTCCTGCACCCAGTCAGCAGGTTTTGGTGAGCTTAAGAAGCTGGGTGCGATCGGAAGCTAGATGTCCGAGCCAGGTGAACAAAGGAACATATGAGAAGAATCGATCCTCAAACCAGTATATAGTAATTATATAGGATGGTTTTTTGTGACCAAACTTTTGGTTCCCAGCAAACCGTCCTGCTCTTGGGTGATCCAAGCTCCTGGATTGCCACAAAGAGAAGACGGAAGCGAAACGCTTCGCTTCGTCTCATTTCTGATCAGGTACTCCCCATCGAATTCGACCTGCAACGTTGAGAGCTGCCGAAAAGCTGTGATTCATTGATGAAGCTTTGGAGATATGCCTGGGGCATTACGGCATTTCATCCTGATAAACCTGGCAGCTGCAGAAAAAGCTTCGTTGCGCTGCAGCTTTTCATGAGTCAACGGGGTTCCGGGAAGAGATCAAAGAGGTAGTGTCTTTAAAGGAGGAGGGCTTGTCGGGAGCCCATCAGTCCTGCCACTTTGCAGTTTTCCTTTTTTTTTTAAAAGAAGGTTTTTAGTCCAGTCAGGGTTGTATTTCAAGGATGCTCGTTTCAAGCCACCGGGTAGTGACGCCAAATTGAGTTACAGTAGGTGCCCACCATATAGCAGACATCCGGACATTTTGTGTGGTGGTTGTGAAAGATTGTAGCTGTGAGCATGCTCACGGGACTAACTTGCTTGGTTGGCTGTGGACGAGCGTGGTGAAGAACTTGAAGAACGCAATGCTACTCTTTTTATCCTAAAGCTTTGAATGAGGGTGTTGGAGCATCAAACGCCTAGCAACGCCTAGTTTTGGTCGACAGTTGGTAGTTCATTTCTGCGATTTCGGTGACTTGTCAAAGTTCCGAACAACATATGCTCGCATATGGTTGATGCTGGAACAAGGGGACAGCAATACAAATGCTTCCAGCATATGGTTGAGCATATGGTTGATGCCCCCTTGTTCCAGCATCAACCTCGTCCCCTTGTCCGGTCGCACCCAGGCCGTCGCTCGCAGCCCGGGCGACCCGGGACGGTTCGATGCCGGCTGAAGACGAAGACCGCGACCGCTCGTCTTCGAAGGTCTGGGTCTCTTCAACACGGGCTTAGAGAAGGTCACTGACATGCAGACCTGCAAGAATGCCTGCCCGTGAACCTGGACCTGCCTGGGGATGGGGCGATTGTTTGGGGTGAAAAGGTCAACATGGATCAAGCATGATCAAGCACAAGGCCAGTGGTAGCACAGTTTTTCTCTCAGGTGCCCAGCACCCCAGCTGCTAGGGGCTTCAAGGTTTATCAAGAGAAGAGCAACGTGGGGCAGGGGGGAGTCTATCAACTTGCAGTTGCCACTCCCAAGCACCAACGATCGGTGTGATCCGTGTGATCCAGTGATGGGGTATCCGCTGGACTGGTGGCAGCAGAACGGATCTTTTGGTTTGGATGAAGGATCCAATCCCTAGTTTTGTGACTTTCACCAGAGGCTCTTCAGCAGTTCCTCGAACCAAGACTGGGTAGGTCTTCTGTAGGAGGAGAGACACAGAGAATTCTAGAGTATCAGAGTGGTTTCCTCTGTTCCACGGTTTCCGGCCAGTCCTTGACGCCTAGGCGTGGGGGACCCTCGCTGCAGCGTGTGGCAGTTCAACATCAATGACAACCAGCCCTCGTCGGGGCCATGGATTTTTTCTTTGTTTAGGGAAAGGCACCAGTTGCACCAGGACTCCAAAGCAGAGTTTGAGCACTTGGCGCAACTCATGTGCATTGACTTGGGGAAGATCTTGGCTATGGCCCATCTGTTGGCGTTGGATTCTGGAGGCTTTTGTTGGCGTTGGATTCTGGAGGCTTTTTGCATTTTTGTTGCCCACCAACAAGACCATGTTCAGAACTCTCAGGTTTCTGCGCTCTCTTTTTGTCGCCCAGAAGACCCATCCTTTCCTGGGACACACCTGGGCCACACCCGGTCCCAACAGGGGTCGTTCGACCGAACGACCGAACCGCTCGACCGAACGGGACGCACGTGGATCAACAGACCAACGAAGCCTCGAAAATAGACCCCATGATGGCGGAAAGTGGTGGCAGCATCGAACATATCAAGTACACCAAAAACATCAAAAATCACACATCAAGCGAAAGGTCATTTGGACATCAATCACATGCAATGAAAGGATCTTTGAACATGAGCTACAATGCTACAAGCATCTTTTGAGGCAGACAGACAGCATGTGCCACGAGTCACATGAAAGCTGGCAAGAGCCAGGCTGATGCCATCTTGGCGGTTCTTGTGGAACTCTTCGACCTGAAACCCAAGGTGATTCTGCTACTGGGAGATCCTACCAGATTCTTGTAGGACGCCTCTGAAATTGAGACGCCACCCCCACCTTCTAACACTCCAACGATCCAAACCCAGCTTTGCACTCTTGTTCTTGAGACCTAGTTGGAGTTCACTTGTACCTGGAACAAGAGTCCATGCTGCTGCTGTGGAATACCTTTTTGCCTTCACATGTGGCAAAAGCAAGCTCTGTGGTCTCCAGCCTTCCATGATCGCTGCATCTCGCCTCCGGCCATGGCCCGTGCCCTCCACGGGACAACCCTTCCGCGGGAGCCGGGAGCCGTGCGAGCCGTACGGAGCGGCGGCCTCCGCGGCCTACGGAGCGTCGTCGAAGAGCTGGATAGCGTGGTGCGCGGCCGCTGGGGGCTTGGCGCGCGGCGGGTTACCGCGCGCGGTGGCCACGGCCGCGCGCCCTGCAGAGGCTGAAGGGAAATTGGAGGCTGTGGCTTTGATGGCTGGGAGGTCATCTCAAGCTCCCCCACCGGTTGACATCCGTACTTGGAGTTTTTCTGTTCATTTGATCCGGGGTCAACTAACTAGGGTGCCCAGGTGCCATGACCCACTGCCATATTTGATGCGTGCAGAACTTACCTTGCCTCTTGCCTCAATGAAGACCATAGTGGAAGATCAATGAACCATGGAAGATCATCACAACTATTTGATTTGATTTGAACCATTCACTATTTGATTTGGTCGAAGATCAATGAAGACCATAGGTTGTTGAAATGCAAACAACGTCCAGTGTGGTAATGGTCACAGGGCAACATGGACCCTGACTGGTTCTTGTACTTGGGATGATCATCACACCCCTCTCTTCATCCAAGAGGTCAACGACGAAGTGGAACGCTTGCGGGAGTTGGCACGCGTGCCGGACCCTGGGGGACGTGCTGGTGGCCTGAATTGGGTGCTAAAGAAGTCAAGACACAGAATGGCGTGAGTACACCACACAAGCCTTAAGCATCATCCAACCCCAAACGATCCCATCGGACTGGGAAGAGTTACAGTACATATCATCTCTACCGTACCCCATGAAAATGACCCAGCCATGTAAGCTCCGACAAGCACATCACATGGAAGTGGCAAACCTCCTGTTTGTAGCGGAAAGTAGTCTTTCAAGAGACCATTGTCCAGGTCCATCTTATTGGTGAGTCAGAGTGCAGCTCGAAATCACAGTTCACGAAATCATCCAAGAATGAGAACATGACCTCGATGAGTATACGACTCACATCGCTCTAGATGCAAGATTGAAGTTGGCCGCATCGGCCACCCAAAGACCTCGATAAATCCATCAGAACCCTTCAACATCATTCAACTAACTGTATCATGATCCCCCAATAGATGACCGTGGCACGGTTTCCAGTACATTTTCCACGTGGTTTATGCACTTCCATTTGTTTGTGGCTTTGTGAGATGTATCGGGTCATTCTTCGTCAATCCATGCGTTCCACACATCGGTCAAGGGATCGGTCTATCATTGGGATGCGGTATTGCAGTGAACAACTTGCTCGTGGAAGAAGAACATCTCAATCAATTCCAAGAAATCATTGGATCAAGTACTTCAAGGTATAAGTTCACTGCCTCGGGTTTGTCCTGGTCCCAGCTGAAGTCTTTGTTTTTGCTAGGTTCAGGCGCCATCCTTTTGTGGATGGGTTCTTGTACATCAACGTACATCCGAAGCGCGGTCCTGATCGTTTTATGAAACCACTCATAGCACATTTCCGCACCTGCCACTTTTCGTGGATTCAGGGCGATACGCTGACGAACAATCATTGAAGTCGAAGACAAAACCATGGACCTGATGAACTATTCGCTTCGTGCTTCTTCCATGATGCCCAAGCACATGACCCTCCATATTTGCCTTCACCATTACCATGCAAGCGGTGCGTGGACGGTATGAGCGGAACGATCACAAGAGTGGAGGAGGGTGAACACTACAGTGCTGGTGGATGTATGTCAATGTATGTTCACAACAAACAGTTTGTTGTTGTTTTGTATTTTTGTGAATTTTCCAGGCGGATTGTATCGCACATGAGCCTTCACAAGGTGCGCACTCCACTAATCTACGGCATTTTGGGGCTTCTATTTTAGAGACCTTGAAACATGTTTGTGGAACTCCACGTTTGTCTTCGATCGGCGCCTTAAGTTGTGAGGACACCGACTTTGAATTGGAGTCCCTTGGGCACTGCTGGGAGGTGCTGGCCTGAGACTCGAGTTGCTGGCCGCAGCTGAGACTCGATTTGCGTTCGCATGGTTTCCTATATATAGATGGAGAAATGGGACACGAATCTCGTGGTGATTTATGTGAATGAGTGGTGATATCTTCCAGCAAGGCCACACCCCACGAATCGCTGCACCAAGCGCTGTCATGGCTGTCGAGCTACTGAGGATTACTTCCAGCTACGGTGCTTTACCCCGCACAACCGCGCGGCGAGCAGCTGCGCCTTGTCCGTGCACCCTGGCTGGGAGACCGGGTCAGGGCCAGGGCAATGCCAACTCCCTGCGCTTCATTTCCAGGATGCTTTTGTGAGACTCTTTGAATCGGTCCAATTGATTTTCGGTCATTTTTGATTTGCAGCAGCTTCTTTGGATCTGTTCTGCTGCCCCAGTGAGACACTTTCTGATTGAAGACCTCCAGGGCTTTCAAGCTGAGTGAGGACCCTCTTTAACCTCGTTTCCACTCCCAGCACAGCTGGTCTTTAGATCCGATCAAGCTGGACAACCTCAACATTTAAAAGGTGAACCATGTGTAGTTTTGCCCAGACAGTGTGCGTTCGAACCATTCGCACCATTTGTGTTTTGTAGGTCCTCATTGAAGCCAAGGCGAGCTTCTGATCCACGCCCATGAGGTTTATTATTGTTTCCAAGTGCAGGCCGATGCCGTGTGAAGGAGCACTGTCTAAAAACAAGGTACTGTATGTTTTGTTGATCACGTACTTCGCGAGTTTTCCGGTCCAGGACATAGCAACCCCCCCAAAAAAGAACCACTCAAGAAACTGACCAAGCATCTCTTCCAGGTGCCAACAAGTCCTTTTCCATCCTCGCGAAGCTCTCGCTTTGTGACCTTCGGGGGTCTCCAGGGTCTTCCTCTCGCTTCGAACATCCTCGTCCGCCGCAGCAGGCCTCTGACGATTCTGCAGGCCGCTCGCTGCTCCGGCGCGCGGCTGTCGCGAGCTGACAGCGGAGTGCGAGTGGACCTGGTGGGGAGCCGGAGACGTGGTTCAAAACCAGTGAGTTCCGGGAAGCTACTAGGGGCTCCTGGCCTTACTACTAGGAGCATACTACTAGTAACAAGAAGCTACTAGGGACAGGTGTGGTTTTTGGAACATTTCGTGAGAGTGGAGTGAAAAGGGGTCTGTCTTAAGGTTCCCTGATTGACCTGGTGCAGGTCCGTCGCGGGGTGGACTTTTCGTGACGTAACCGGTCCTGGTCCCGGTCCTCGGATGGTCTCCCGGACCAGGAGACGAGGGTGGCGCGAGTGATTTACAGGAAGTACCACATTTCACCCAAGCAATCACAGAAAGTGTCATGAACTTGCCCTAGCCACCGAAGGGCCAAGCTGTTCAAGAGCATCCTTCTGATGGTCACATGTTTCATTCAAAATGTGAGCACTCGCAAACCAGCCTCCATTGTCCCAAAGAAAGGCGACTGGACTGCATGGACTGCAGGTGGGAAGCGTGGCGTGTATTCCTTGTGACAAGAAACCCCCCTTCATTGGACTCCGTTGGTTCAGCAGGATCCAGGAATGCCCAGTCGCCCAGCGTATTCTCTTTGCACCAAGGAGATTGGAGCTGGGTGAGATTCAACTCCTCTATCTGGAGGGGAGGGGGGCAGGTCCGTCCATCTGGTTGGGCTGCACGGGAGTGGCTTTCATGCGGTGTCGTGGCCGTCAGTTGCTGAGTCAGTTTGAGTCAGTCTCATTTGGGTGTGGCGAACTTTCACCATATTCCCCCCAAAACAAACACGAAAGTGGACACATGGGCTCCAGTTCCCAAGGTGTTTCTTCCACTTTGCATGTCTTTTTTCCACTTGGAATGGGTGCCCAGTTCCTTCCGTGCCTTGACTCGTCCTGGAGGAGTTGGGCCGAGCCTTTGCCTCAGTGGATCTCCGCCTTGTGGGACCGGAGCTGCCGGAGAAGCTGCCAGGCGACGAAGGGGACGGAGGCATTGGGAGGCGAGGCTTTTGGAGGCTTTTTTTTCTCCTGGGGCGAACAAATCACGCAGAGAGAGAGAGAGAGAGAGAGAAAGTCACTCACTGGCTAGCCAGCTCACTAGCAGATGACGGAACAAAAAGCTGGGTTCGACGGAAGTTCTGAGAAGCGCTCAACGAGAAGAAGGCTC